TCTTTCCCGTATGTAACGCGGGATGCCGCGGGTGCCCAAAATAGCCCAGAAATCATTCCCGTGCTCAACAAAATGGGTAATAGAGAGCGAAAATTGGAACGTATTGGATCGTAAGTGTCTTCTTCTTCTTGCCCGAAACAGCCCGGACTTTTTCTCCGGGTAAAAATGGATAAAGCGTCAAAGTGCATATCAGCGGTTTTGTGTTTACATGTTGCCTGCATTTACTTGGTGCTTTTAAGGAATAGTGAAGCAATTTCAATCTTTATATTCCTAAAATCAAATTTGTGAAACAGCAATTCAATTTCCAAGAGTTTGCATTTAAGTGACGAAAACAAAAACAACGAGAATAAGCTGTTTCTCAAATTCTGGGCACGAAATGTGGTTTTTTGCGCTCCGGAACTGCTGAATTATGTTCCATTTTTGACAGCAAACTTTTCGCTTATTCTCTAATTACCGGATCCGGTCCGGATTGTAAGGGAAATAACCTATTGAATCTTGCACTTACACGTAGTTATTTTTCTTGGCAGCTGGTTGTCCATGCAGTTGCAAGGGATGTTCCTCTGACAAGTAACCCACGGTGACAGTTAGTTTAGGACTCTTCCACAACCAAAGACTAAATGTCACTCAATTTTAAATACATGGAAAAATATGACGAGCGATTGAAAATTTCTGCTCTGCTTTCTGAGATCAAGTGCACGAAAACTAATGGCCCCGTCAGAATGGGTACCTTGCGTACGTTCCGCTCAAGGAAGAAAATGACAGTTGACTAGACTATGTTTGTTTGCATAGATAGCGTCAGATTGGAAACGCTCAATATTGAAAACAAGCAATAGCAAACGTATTGGTATCGTTTAGTTTCGCTCATAAAAGGTTTGTATTAAAGATGTTGCGAATGAAAAATTTTAGACATCCGCGGATGCGAAGGCGGATGCGGATGTCTAACAGCTAACATCCGCGGATGCGAATACGGATGTCAGTTATTTTTAAGAAATAACCAGGTAAGTAAACTAAGTTATTTAGGTAAATAAAAAAATTTAAAAGTGAGTAATTTTTAATGTTTATTTTACTTAGTACTTGAATTTAAAAATTGAAAATTTTATTTAATAAAAAGTAATGAGAATTGCATCGGGGCTGCAAATGTCAGATGTATCCTCCTGACTTTCATGTTCACTTGAAGAATCTAGCATAATGGTGAGATCGTTGCTTAAACAGCGCTTACAAACCAAACCAGATGTGTTAGGTTTTTCTGAAGCTTTTTTAAAAGAATTCTTCATTCTCATTCCTTTAGCAGTTTCAGAATTTGGGGAACTTGTAACGTCATCAGCGTTTTTCGATTTTAGTTTTTGCAATTCATTTTTAATGGGTCTTCTGCGACTGGTTTGAAGAATTTGTGCTTATAGCGAGCTAAATAGGTGGATATGGAAAATATATTATTATTTTCCAGGAATGAAAATTTTGAACAAAATTCTGTTTTTGAGATCCTGGCTGCCAGCCGAATCGGATCAGAATATTGTTATTTTTTTAAAAAAGCACCCCGTTTTTTTATAATCATTTGAATTATTGGAATCACGAATGATGAGGGTTTCAGATAGTTACGTAATTCTTACCTAATTAAAGGTCGGACCTATAGCTTTTTAAATATTTCAGCATCGATTCTCTTTATAGCTAAATGTTGAAGATTTTTGCTGGAAATCCCTATTGTAGGAGCTAAAATCTTTCATTTTAAATAGCAAAGAAGGGAGACGTAGGGGAGAGTTTTACCACAGAGACCTTTGGGCAAGGATCCAATGTACATATATATCTATGAAAAAATATTGCTCGACAAGTAAACAAAATTACTGTTTTTAAAATTTTTTCTTAAAATAAATTCCCCAAAGAGCCACATTTGAAATGATTGAAACGAATATATCAAGGCGAATTAATATAAGGTGGTGTTACTAGCTCAGCTGATTTTGTGTATGTGTTTCGCCGCACGGCTTCTGATATCAAATTGAAAAATTTTGTTTGAATTTCTACACACACTTACAGATTTTGACAGTTTATGCCGCCAAAGCATAAACAAAATACATGTAAATTCTTGTTTTTGTACTCCTGCTATCACCTTATATTAAGTCGCCTTGGAATATATCGTCACCTGAAATGCAAAAAGACGTAACTGATGTGGGAGTTGAAATTCGATGAAATCCATCATATCAATCAAAAACTGAACTTTGAATTTTTTATTAGTTACGACTTTTTGTATTTCAGGTGACGATATGTAACATCAAGAGCAAATCACGAAAATTTGGTTTAAAATTACAGCGCACACTTTCTTCTTTTAGTCTACTAGTTTTTTTAAGATTGGTCAAAAAAAAAATCATAATAAAGAAAGAAATGCAGGTATTTAAAGAAGAGAAAACAAAAAATATATATTATTAAAAGGGCTATGTTCTCTTTGACGTACGTCAAAGGTCAATTAGAAGTGGGAACTTGTACAACTGCTCGATTATATAGCTTAAGAAATAATAAGTTTAAAGACATTTTTATCAAAGTTTGACCAGTTTTGTTACACAAATACTCCAACGACCACAGGCAAAAAATATTGGCTACAATTTGTTATATTGTTTGCCAGATATACGTTTTATCGGTGCACTTGCACAACATTCGCATTCGCAAAAGCTCCGCATTGATTATTGCGAATGCGAAAGCGAATGCGAATGTTAAAATTAATGCGGAATCTCCGCGGTTGCGAATGCGAATGCGAATTTTCGCAACAACCCTGGTTTGTATGTACATACTGTGCAATATGTGGCTTTCCTCGTTTAGACATTTCAGTTTTAAAGCTATTTTAGTCCTCTTTCACTACCAAACTTGTTTAACTTGGATAAGTGGTTTATCTATTATCCGGAAAAGACTTTTATTTCGGAATAATATTCGCAACAACCCTGGTGCATATCATAGTACGTGGCATTTTGCAAATACGTAAATATACAAACACACAATGTACATAAATCTACTGAAGCAGCTGAATCATTCTGCTAACTTCATAGAAAACCTCAATTTGCTGAGCACTAAAGAAATGATTCCTTTTGTTTTGTGTTTTGGTTTTGCTCAGGATGAGTCCCTTTACCACAATCGAAACCATGCAAGTGAGCAGAAGAACAAACGATTCGTTTGGTTTGTGCTCGGCTGCCGTTGAAACGTATCGTGTATTATTAGCGCTCGCGAACATTATGAGAAAAGGAACACAAACTTTTCGTACTTGTGGCAATGGGTAGTGATACGTTCGGTTTTTTTTTCGTACTCTGGGTAAAACTGCTTAAATGTATTCGTTTGATATGAACTCCGTGAGTTCTGGGATTTGGTCTACTCTACTAGAATTACGACTCGCTAAAACTTTAAAAAAGTTTATTCAGATAATAATTTTATCTAAAAAAAAAAATATGTACGTAATTTAATATAAACCACTTAAATAATACTTTCTTCTAACTTCACCTCTTCATTTAAGGATACCAGTTCATTAAACAGGCCAAGAAATTTGGAAAAATCCTAGACTCAAAAACTAAACCATCTATTTCCTATTCAATTTTTTACGCTGAATCCAGAAGTACTCCAGCATGCAAGGTTTATGTGATATTCTAACCTAAAGGCATGAAAATGGCCTTTTTTAATTTAAAACTTATAAAATAGGAAATAAAGTTTTCGCATATTGGCACAAATTTTACCTTAAAGTGCACTGTTTCACCTTTAAAAATCTATTCAACATTTTTAGTTCTGGTTACTCCTCGCTGAAATATACAGAAATTTAAACTATGTGATTGGAACTACTATATTACATCCGCCATTTTGAATGTGCATTGTTGTTATTTTGTGATATTATTGTAATAATATTTTCATACAAATTTTGGATTTGGATGTTACTATTTAAAAAATTGAACCATTCGAATCGAACTGTCCCGCGGTTCTGAGATACTAATGAACCGGTTCTCGTACCGGTACAAGTTATTTCTAAGTGGTTCGAACCACTGAATAGAACCGCTTCAATTTTTGGAGCGGTTTGTAGCCCTGACCCAAACACACCATTTTTATTTATTTATGGACCATTAAAAACATTTTTTCGAGCCAGTTCATATTTTGTACATTTGTTTCATGGACACAGCTGTTTAATTAGAACTTGAGTTTCAAAAACTATACGCCAAATTACAGGTGACCTACCATAACTTGACTCTAGAAATAGATATTTCATTTGGCCACCGGAACATTTTTAACAGCATTTGAAACATTGATTAACATCATCTGGTACGACACATAGGGCTTAACACATAGATTTTCAAGTCCCTTACCATTCTGCCAGAGGTATTCTCCGAAAGCGAAACCGCTTCATTAATACTACAAAAGTTATTTTTTTAGTCCCATTGATAACACCAGTTACCGAAAACCAACTACTTACTAATGTAGATATGACACCACACACTCTATCCCTATGTTTCCTACAGTCTATCAATTAAAATATTATCCCTAGCGTAAGTAAAAACACATTTATCATAGTGCTTATGAACTTACCTTTTCCACTTCATCATCAGTTATTTCACTGTTTATTTCAATGCCACTCTTGCGGGTCTTTTCTAAAAGTGTCGCTTTCTTGGCAGTTAAGTAAAGGCTACGCTTTATAGCGATGTAGACGACATCAGTGACTGCACGAACCGAATAGTCTGGTATAAATGTCTGGCGAATCTTGGCATCTATGTTCAATGACTGAATAGATCCACGTAATTGTTGAGTAGGCGAATCTTTTGGCATTAAAATAAATATTTAATTAAACAAATTTGTTTAGTTGACTCAAAAGTATCTGATTACTTACCAACAACAACATTTGGTTGAAGTGCTGCGGTACCAAAGTAAGTAAATGCGCCACTTTCGAAGAGTAAATTCTCTTTACCAACAGTTACTTCGACACGTCCTTCTAAAATAAGTACGAAGAAATCCACTGCCTTTCCTTGTTGGTAAATAAACAGACGGGGATCATCTTTGCTTTTACCCTTGCACTTGATGGCATGGATAATATCTTGATTAAGTAGGCGCCGCAAGATTGTTTCGGAAACGACTTCCTTTTTAAAGGCATCGACAGCTATGAAAATTACAAATTATGGATGGATTAAATAAATTAAAGCTTGGCAAATAAACATTGAACATAAAGATGGCTGTGAACATAAACATTAGCACACTTACATGTACTTAAATACTGGAACGTGGCCAGTGTGAGTTGTGGAGAAATGCGTATTTTTTGATTTTCACGACGTTCAGCAAAAGCGGAGAAGTCCTGCTTTTTGCTGCGATTGCGACGCACCTTCGTGCGATTGTCGATGTATACGTCCGTTTCATCAACAATCTCAGCCTGAATTAACTCTTCAATAACATCTTCAAGAGTTACGAGACCGATTGTTTCATAGAATGGATCGCCGTCACCCTCGTTGTTTACGCGATGTACAAATGCAATATGGCCGATCGTACCATCTTTAAATTGATTAAACATAAGATCCAGAGTCATATCCTCAAAAACGAAATGTACAGGATTCTGATAGAACTCGCAAAGCGTACGTAATGGGGTATTATCATCGGTATCAACAAATGCCAAGTCTTTAATGTACAACAGGGTAACGATATTTTTCCTATCCCCATCGTAGACGGGTATACGGGAGAAACCTGACTTCATAATATCCGACACAGTTGAAAAGTCTAAAACAGAGTCAAGTGATAGCATGAAAGCATCATCGATATGTGTCATTACATCGGATACAGTCTTTTTACGCAACTCCAGTGCACCAGAAATAATATTGACTTCATTCTTATCTAGATCGTTAACACCAGTTGTGACCTAGTATAATGGCACAGAAGTGAAAGTGAAAGCTACTTTCAGTTTTAATGAGCATTTGTCTTTACATACCTTCACCAATTCCTTTAGACGCTCCCGATTATAAACATTACCGATTTCTTCACCCAACGCACAATCTAACATTTTTGAAATCGGATATGACATTGGGAATGTGAGCACCATTACTACTTTTGTAATTCCAATTGTTTTAGCACCTATCGCCAAACCGTGACGAGAACAAACAGCCTGTGGTGGGTATATTATATATGTTGTAATATAAGAAGTTGAGAGGTCAAATGAAATAAGAATTAACCTGAGGTGTGATTTCACCACATATAACAATTGCAAGCGTGGACACAATAACAGCAAAAAGACCCGACGTTAATCCATCCAAGAGAATAGTGAATGTAGAGTTCACCAACACATTACCCAATAGAATACTGCAGAGTAAGAAATTTCCTTGATCACGGACTGGTTGAATAATTCTGGCATATTGTCGTTCGCGAGCCGAACCAGTGTTGCAAAGGATCTGTAAGTAAAGATAATAAATGAGCTTAGTTTACAGGATGACAGCTCAAATTGTTCCAAACGATTTTGAGGAAAATAAACTTTGCCGACACCCTTTAAAAACTTAAATCGAATTTTTTTTTTAAGCTTTGCTGTTTCTGGTCCGAACGGAATTTCGTGGTGCAGGCATTAAAAAAAAACGACTTACTATTTTTAAAAACAAACACTGTCTAACAAAATGAGGTAGCAAACAAGTTTGTTGAGTGTTAAACAATTTTAAGTTTGAATATCGTTACCTTAACGTAGAAAGCTCCTAACTTATTTTCTCTCAAAATCGGTAGATTGCTCACTAAACTTTTAATTGAATTTATAGACAACTAACTACTACATTAACAAATTAGTTGTTTTATAAATACTCTGTAAAACAGCCAAAATGTTAGAGTGCCTTTCTACACATATCATTTATTTATTTCATTATTCACTAGTCTACAGAAAATAGTATTCTTACAGACTATTACCTAACTCAAGACAATGTTTAATTATGCATTAATTATAGACTTTAAAAAGATTAGGTTTAACATTACATTTATCATCACTAAAATTTAAAAGTGTGGCATGAGAATTACAAAGCCTTATATTTCTGGCTATTGGCTCATTGTATGCATGCTGTATGTAGCCTCAATAAAAAGCTTACAACTACGTAATTGAAAAGTTGACTAATTCCATTTGAAGAGATTGGTAATGTCTTGGCATTGAATGCTACCAGATAGGATGTTGTAGGCAAACATGATAGATAAGAAGGATCGCCTGTCCGACAGTGCTTGTACTAGTACTTTTCAGTACATTTTTATTCAAAGAAAAATTATGAATGTGAGTAACAGTAACATCAAAACGCCAGAGTTCTTGTTTTTAAAAATATTTTGGTATATAGATAAAATATGGTTCATAAAAAATAAAAGTGTTATTAATATTAACATGAGGGTACACATCATTATACAGACAATAAATTATTTTATATTTATGACATTCTTGTCGGCCGCTGTGGTGTAATGGTAAGCAGTGCGCGCTTCCACTCCACAACGCCTGGGTTCAAACCCTGGTCAAAGCAACATCGCAAAAATATAGAAAAAAGGTTTTTTCTTAACATCGGTCGTCCCTCGGCAGGCAATGTCAAACCTCCCAGTGTATTTCTGCCATGAAAAACAGCTTCTCATAAAAATACAATCGCCGTTCGGAGTCGGCGTAAAACTGTAGGTCCCTCCGCTTTGTGTGACAATATCAAGGCGCACGCCACAAATCGGACTTTATACTTACTTAATACAGAGAGGATCTGTTTCTTCGTTTGAGTGTGGTATTGAAAAAACCAAATGAAATATTTTTTCAAACTGTGAGAAAGTACCACTTTTTAAGGACTTCATCTATATTCCTCATGGCTTAGATAATTTTTTCAACTCCGCAAAAACTTTGAAAGACAAAGAATTCGCTAAAAAGAGTGTCTAACTCTATGTCTTTTATGCCAAACTCTTTTACAATGTCAGTAAATTGAGAAGAAAGAGTTGTAAGTTATAGGCAAAAGAAATTCGAATATTCAAATTTGTTGTTATTAAACTGAAAGTTATTTTCGAGATAACTAACAACACTCGACAAAAAAAAAAATTTAAGCCTTCTTTTTAAAGAATTTAAGCTCCACCATATTATCGCAACTGGTCCGAACGATCCGGCGATACGCCTATAAAACGATTGATCTTTTTGTTCTATTAATTTTTTGGGCATATCTCATTATCTAAAACATGTCAACCATAATTACATTATTCTCTTTTTACTTTTTACAGTACAGTTTAAGGAAGCTCAAGCGTTATGTAAAACCTTAAGAAAATCCTAAGGTATTTTGTTTGAATTGAAAATTCAGTACAAATCAGTACAAATTTTGAAAAATCAGGACTTAAGCGTACTGATTGAAGAAATTAATAAAATCAGTACATGAGTAAAAAAATCAGTACTGTACTGATAAAA